AAAATGGGTATTTTAGGCAGTTTAGTTGTTTATCTGTTTATCCCTCGCGTGCAGATCTGACCGTTTATAGATTAGTTTTAGATTTCTCTCTTAACATCCAGCCTCTCTGTGGTGGAGCAGATCAGTTCCAGCACTTTAAAGCCGGCGACTGTAGATCAGATCCTGGTTAAATCAAGAATAAGAAACAAATTAAGATGTTATTCAGCAGCTGATATGATTGATCAGCTTTGTTCGGTCCACTAATATGAGCTAATAGGACTGGATCAGACAGAGCTGCAGCTGGTCCAGATGAAACATCAGGACATTCTGCAGCTCGGTAGAATCTGGATAAAATGTTGAGATTAATGGAGGAATAATTTAGAAGGAGCCTGAACACAGAATTAAACTTCTGATTTGATGTGTTTAATAAAAAAGGCTCATGTCTCTGGGGAGGGGGGGGCATCTCCAGGATTCAGTCCAGGATCAAATCTGCTCCTTAACTTAAACAAAGGAGGCCTGTTTTAGAAGGGATCCATGGGGAGCGACTCTGGACTGAACACCGTTACGTCTGATATAGCAGAATCCCTCCTGGATGTAGGTGGTTCTCCTGAGGCCGGGGAGGTTCTGAAGATGATCGTCTATCCTTTTAATGCCAAACACACACTTCCGATGTTGCAGCAAATAAAGGCTTTGCTAATATTTTCTGCATGTCTTGCTGCACACAGGAACAAACCACTAGAGGAAGATCTGAGTCCAGCTCAGATCATCTGTAGCAGTAAAGGCATGGTTCTGTTCTGGGCGCCGCTGAATCTATGGACCCAGCAGTCTGCACAGGTCATCCCAGCAAAAACGGTGACACTCATGCAGGTAGTTGTCTGCAAAAATTCAAATATGGGTATTTTTCTATTTCCCTCAGCACAGCAATAGTCTAATAAAGGCCTTTCTGTCCAACATAGAGCAGCAGCCGTCTGCAAAAACTCCTCAAAGAGGAACAATGTCCACATAGAAAACAATAAAGGTAGGAATAGTAAAGAATAACAGAATAATGTTTAAATAATTACAATACTTCACTATATATCAATATAGATTAACGGTTTTAATTCCGGCTGATTTAACACAGCATAGAGATAAGAAAACAGAACCGCTGTTAAACTCATTCATTTCTGATGGGAGTGACGCTCACTGAGCAAATAACACATCAGGATTAACTAAGCCTGGCTGTTAGCCTGGTCGGGCTAGTTGCATAGAATAAATCACCATGGTAACTGATGTGTTACTGCTTTGGTTAAACCAAGTTTAGGTTTATATAAACCAGGATGTTCAGAAAATCCTGGCTTAATCTCTTATCTTGGTTTTGTTAAACAAGCCTTTGGAAATGTTACTGAATTAATGTGAAAGTAATTTTTTTATTTTTCATCTATAAAACTGTGAAGCTGCTGCATGCGTATTTTACTGTGAGAACTCCAAACATTTATGTTAGCTTTATTACAACCTGGGGATGGTTTTAGGTTGTGGGGATTCATCCGTGGGTTTGCCTGGTCATATGTAAAAAGCTGTTGTTCTAAAATTCTCACCACCAATAAAAATAAAAATGTTTGTCTCTTCCAAGGCTGATATTTTTTTTTTTGGTCGGTATACTTCTGAATCAGTTCCAGTTACTCTTGGTTAAAAGAATAAAGTGAAAGTTTCTTTCATTTTTTTCCAAATAAAAAGATGTTTTTTATGGATAAAGGTTTGCTTTATATGTGGTTTGGTTTACGCCGGATGTCTGGCAGAATTTGGTTTCAGTCTGTTTTTTAAATGATTATTATTTTTTAAATCACAATTCAAATCAATATTTCAGTCTATCAAATCATAATTTTGTATGTTTTTATTTATATATATATATATATATATTTTTTTGGTTTCTTGTTATGAGACTTTATCCTTTTCTTTATTAGCAGAGTGTCTAAACTTTTAAGCACAACTTTATATATTTATCTTGTTAAATATAATCAACTTTAGGATTTCCAGTCAAAAGAGAGAGCGGTTTATAAGGGGAAGGAGAGGAGCAAGGTGTAAGCTGAGGAAAAGCCAGATAGGTTTTGGTTCAGTCCATCCAAAAAGACAAAAACACAGGAAAACAAAACACAAAATTCTCAGACACGATGTGTTTTTGAATGATAGAGCTGGCAAAAAGCACTGAGCATGTTTCAGAAATGTAGAAACAGTGAAATGTATCTTGCCTGGGTGCTCAGCCCCCTAAAACTCTGATCCTAGAATCGCCCCTGGGCGTAACCACTACATAGTGCCGTATATATTGATTAGCGCGTTCGGACACAATCTCTGAGAAGTTTGAACTGGTCTTCCTCTGTGTGTCAACCTGACCTGAAGAACAATGTTTATTTTTATGTAAAATAAATTTATTTTACAAGATTAAAGATATATTGAGGTAAAAAAGTGTCATTTTATGATTAAATTTACAAAATATTTCATTTTTTCCCATTAGCCTGGGGAGCTTTAATGTCTCATCAGCAGCAATATCAGCTGGATTCTGAATGAATATCTAAAAAGATCAGACATGTGATTTCCAGCAGTGCTGGTTTACTAACTCCTCATTCAGAGGGAAATTGTTCAGTCCTCTGTCAGTCTGTCTCTCTTCAACTATTGTAATAAGCTTTTAGTCCAAGTGAGTGATGATGTCTCCTCTACAGAAGCCCAGA